TGGATTAAAATGGGAAAGATTTGGTACAAGTTGAATAAGTAGGCTTGAGTTACACACTGTCTGTGTTAATTACTGAAGTTGACACCAGACTTAAAGCATTTGGTCCCACCTTGACTCTCATAAAATGACTATTTCTCCCTGCCAGGTTGGTCCAACAGCTCACCCAGTTGTCCCGTTTGGTGTCAGATCTCCATGACGTCAGCTCCTCCGCAGATTAAACGATCTCCGATAACGCTGCGCATTCTTAAAAACAAAACAAACAAATAAAAAAATAAAAATACTTTACGATCCGTAAACGTGTGCCTCGGTGGAGTCCCTCAAACACCGAGTGCTCGTTGCACAGAGCTTGATGAGACAGAACCCGTCGGTTGGACTTTTATCCGGGTCAAACTGGCGGCCCGGCGCCATGAGAGCGCTGATAGGCGCAGAGGGACAGGAGGAGACGCTGCTGTCCCTTCATCATCGTCATTATCATCCTCCTCCGCCCCCAACACCCCTCTCTTCTCCCAAATTCCTCCCTTTGTCCTCCCTCAGCCCGAATCTACCAACACTCTATTTAAAAAAAGATCCTGGAACATCCCATTAAGACTTTCCCTCCTCCTCACAGACGGCAGAGGTCACAGGAACCACACCAACTATTAGTAGAAGGAAATAGCCAGGTCAAGCTGTACAGAAGCACAGTCTTGCCACTATGATAAAAAAAAATGTATCTCATGATTTAATCAAGGCAAAGCAAGGCAGCTTTACTTATGTAACACATCTCCTAAACAATTCAATGTGTGTTCTAGGTGCATAAACAACAAGAACATAAAACATTAAAATCAATGTGACAACACACAGCAGATTTTAAAACCAAATTTAAAATACACAAATACAATTAGATATCAGAAATAAAAAACTGCTATTGCATAATCATGACTTATCTTAAGCCCTTTGAAAAAGACACACCATGCAGGCAAATCTGAATAACACTGCCGTCACGGTGTCCTTTGAATGCGCCGTGGCGGCATGGCGTTGCAAGGATTTTGCGGTATTCGTGCTGTTGGTAGTAACATTGCCGAAACGCCTGACTTGTGATTGCATATTATGTCTTGGCGCATCAGAAGGAGGTGTGATGATCACGTGAGGAGTTACTGCCAAGCTCCGGTCGGCAACTAACGTGAAAATGAAAGTAAGTACAGCAATAAGTTTTGCTTTAAACAGAATCAGTTGAGATGATAAACTAGTGATGCAGAGCTAGCAGCTTCTCTCCATTAAAGCTGAAGCCTAGATCACCAGAGACTGCACGAGTACCGTGGAGGACAGACACCTTTAGGAGAGGCTTGCTAAAAAAAATAAACGTAATGAGCACAGCTTCCATTGCAATGAAATGCAAGTTATGTCCATGTTAAACAGAAATCTGCGGCAGTGCAGAAACCACCCCATTCCCCCTTTATACCGCCATTGCATCATGTTTGGTAAAAATGACAGGATTGCACCACATTACTGCCACGGTCTGACCACTTATAAATGACCTAAGGCTCCCTGATGCTGCCTCAGTGTAGCGGCAAATTAGCAGCATTGTTTTCTAAAGGAGTCTTGCCATGAATGCAAGTCAGCGGGGTTAAAGGGTCTATTTGCTAATCCACTTTGCCTCACGGCCTGAATCGCACATATGTTGCACTTCAATTAAAATGAATAGTAATGATGGGTGTTTCAACCACGCCTGCAACTTACTTTGAGATTTATCAGCTAGTAAATGTTAGTAATTAGCATGACTTTAAATCAGATGTTGGTAAGTTGCAAACACGACATCATCACAGAATCTCTCCCCCCTAGCGTAGCTGCTACTTACCACGTGGCCAGATTGATGGCGGTTCTTTACTCCTGAAGGAAAGATTCAAAGTTTGGTGAACATACAGCCATCTTTCTTCATCTTTTCTTCGTTCTCGGTTTGATGATTTGTAGGCATGGGCGTATTTTCACACAAAACCTAAAATAACTTATGTTAGAAAATCTCTTGGCAACAGACTATCTTTAAAATTCAAGGACATCATGGTACATAACAAAGATGATTAGAAAATAAGGTTTTTAGCGCCATTGACTTACATTCATTTTTTCTTTCTTCCGGGAGCCATGGTCCACACATAGATGGGCGTGACTTAGACTCCCTCCTGGCTGCTTTAGGCAAAATATTTTAATTTGAAATAAGATGCACTAAAATGCCAAAATAATGGCTACACATATCTACAGCACTATTAGACATGCATTTATGCATGTATCTGCAAAAACGTTGATGTTGTTGTTCTTTAGGTCAAAATAAGAAGAAACTAAGAACGGACCAACACTTCTTTATGAAAAAGTTGAGTGGGGACATGTGATTTTAAAGTCTGAAAGCTGAGTTGTCTCAAACTGTTTCTTCCCTGTTTAGTTTCACTGAAAACCAGTTGAACAAAGCTTTTGTTCTTGAGCTGAATAACTTGTTGTCTTCCATTTTCCTCATTGGTATTCAGTCCAGCAG